AACTGGAAATTGTCCTGTAGTTGATATTCTTAGATTTGCTTTCAAAATTGGATGCCTGCTGTCAGGGAAGTAGCATCAAAAAGCATAGGGAGTGGGGATAAATTGGTTGTCTCCCTTCTTTCAATTGTAACAGCTCCCACTCCATTAGGAAACAATAGTGAACATGAGTGTAAGTAAATACCAGGCTGACTCTGTTTGGTTTTGACAGCATTCTAAAAATAATTAATAAATGGAACCAGAGGGAATTTGCTTGAGGCGAATTAGAATGTGTGAGAAAGAGACAGAAAGAGATTATGTTAATCCAATTTACACTGTAATTTTCTTGTGTTTCAGAAGGAACACCTGGTAGGAAACCACTGCCACTTTTGAGCAATTATGGTTAAAAGGGACTCTGGGGAATCAGAAGATCAATGCCATTTCTTTGTCTAATTCTGGTACCATTCCATTTTTCCTCAGTCAAAACAGTGAAAATATTATAACAGTACTTGTAAGTGGATAGTTTATAATTATACTTATAATGTCTTCTCTATTATGGGAATGGGAGAGTACTGTTACGTTGCAGAGCAATTTAAAATTGATCATTCACATTGACCCTGACTTGATCAAAATTTACACTATTCATAAAATAATTACTTAGTGTGCAAATTGAGTATGACAGAAAATAAAAAAAAATACAAGAAAAATGTAAAGAGAGTTAAATTTGAATAAAATCATTCAAAATGTACCTTATATTATTCTAGGCATTCAACTAGCGAGCTCATCTCTGATCCTATAAAGAGTATAAAATTGATTTTTTTCTAATCTAAAGACATTTGGCTTTATCTTTTATCATTTTATTAGTATTTAAAATCTTTAAACATATGAAAGTTGCTTTAGAAAGGAAAAATACTTTTTCTTAATCATAAATGAAAAAATACATTGCAAAAAAAGACAATATTGTACAGTATCATGCAGTAAATTTGACTGTTTCATCCACTCCAATAGCAAACTTTTTCTTAGCATTAATTTCCCTTTTTATTATAAAGAGGACAAGTCAGTACATATGTAAATATCTAAAAGGACACTATTTAAAAAAAGAGGGCGCTTAGGGGGCTGCATTAGGCTCATGGGTGTTAACTTGTCTATCTTAGGTTTAGAACAAAAATACCATGTTACTCAAAGTATGTAGAAATGTTACAAATATATAGCAGCAGAGGGTGCTGATGTCCATCATTTGTTGATGATCTTGATTGTTTTATTAATGGAGAATGTTGGACTGCTCTTATGTTGCTTTTAAAGCAAATTGGATTCAGTCCACAATGACTGATTGAGGAATCATCATGATTATCTTTTCCCTTCCACTTGTGACCAAGCATCTGTGGTTTCATATCAAGAAATACTGAAGTGGTGTGATTCGCATTGTAAAAATTAGGGCTCTTTTAGCATTTCAGAATCATTGATATATCAGGGCAGATATGATTTGTCAGTCACACAATATTCCTTTTTGCTTCACAAATTGTTATAGCATATAGGATGATTCCAATCTCCTTAGAACAGGCATGTCAAACTGCTGGCCCGCAGGTCAGATGCATCACAACAAAACCGCGCCCACCCCATTGCTGGCAATGGGGAAAGTCGCGATATGTCATGTGACGTCGCAAGTTTGACATGCCTGCCTTAGAAGAAAATAATGAAAAGCTAGTAAAGCCAAACCAAGCCAAGTTATAGGGAACATTTGGAAGAAGGGGGAGGGCAGGCTGCAGTGAAGAGAAGTTGCAAATGAGTTGTCTAGTTTTACAAGCCAAGTTATGTCTGGAGACAAAAAATAATTACCTAAGGATTTTCATTTTTAAATGAGAAGTGACAGCAGAAAAAGAAAGCAATGGCCTCAGTAGTGGGATTCAGCTGGTTCGCAACACTTCGGCAGAACCGGTAGCTAATTTTTGTTGCCCAGGCCCAGAATGGACTTCCAGAAGCAGCATCCACACAGAGAACCAGTTGTTCGCATATTTGAATCCCACCACTGAATGGCCTCCAAAATTGTACAGGATCTTCAACTACATCCCACATTCCAGTACTATAATTGGGGCAAAAACAATCTTCATACATATATTTTATAGCATTCAGTAAATAGGGTTAGCAAATTCAAATTAGTTTTGGATATTTTTCCACCTATATGTGAATTAATAATCTTTGCTCCTCAATTTTAAATTTCCAGAGGGACTAGTTGAAATATTTTGTACTTTTTTTCTTAGAAGATTGGCAATACCGAAATGAATATATTTGTACTAGGAAGATTAGAATGAAATGATTTGGAATAAGATGACACATGAAAGGGCTGAAGCACCAATATTAAAAAAGAAACATGGGTCCTTTTGGCGATCATGATATCGGTTATACCATAGCTATTTTTCCACTGATTATCTTTGTGGGAGAGATTAGGGTTTCAGCTGCTAATCTAGTGTTAGAGACTCATGTATGCTATATTTTACAGCTTACTTTCTTAACAGAAGAGTCTATATTATTAAAAAAAAACCTAGTTATAGTGTTATAGTGATTTTAAATAATCAGGACCTCTACCCCATGTTTGTTAATTTGCTCTAGGAACCTATTTTTGTTTTTTGTTTTAAAGAAAAAAGGCAAGTTTGTTTTAGCTAGGAAAATGAAGTGAAATAGTTACACAATACTGTAAGCAAAAAATAATGGCCAATTCACACATCATACTATACTTTATATTTTAAGCAGTTATTGAGAAACCAAATTAGCTGAGCTCATACATAAATTCTAAACCAGATTAAACATCAATGTCTGGTTCCCACCCTAAACCACAACCAAATAAATCCCATTTATAGCTTCATGTGATATGTGGAGTAAGAATGGGTATTTGGAAAGCCAATACTTCTCTTTTCAAGTAATATTTATTATGATTGGTAAAATGACATTTTATTTAGATAATATAATTTTCCAGAAAGATAAATGGAATGAAGTGGAGATTTTGGAGACTTACAAAGGAAAAGTACAGCTAGTATATTGTCCTTGTTTTAGGAATAATAAGTTTACTTGACTAGAAAGAGTTTGAGAAACACAGAATAAATTACATATTTTGCATATATTAAAACCCATATTCAGACCTTGTCAATTCCAGATGTTTTCCTTAGCCCCCTCCCACAGTTTCAACAATTTACCATCCTGATAGGGAAAAATGGGCATTATAGCAGTGTATCTGGAGAGTTAAAGGATTTTGCTTAAAATGAATTTAATCAGACTCTGGGAATCAGAATAGACAAAATGGATAATTTTAGTGGAATATCTTGCTTTGGCATTAAAAAGATCTAACATTAGACTTTGATTTGGAATGTTTTGTATCTTCAGAAAACTCCAAAATTGATAGCCTCTCACTAAATGCTATCACTCCTATGCTTTAAAAAAAGGCAAATTTTAATCGGTGAAGTAAGTTGTTCAGTTCCTACCTTTCTACCCGTTGAATGACTGTCACAAGATTTTCAAAAAACATGGGGAAGTTCTGATATGTAGGAGGAAAAGTGCAATTTTGTTGAGGCAGAGGAATAGCTATTGCAAAGCACTGTAGCAACCAGGAAATAGCTACCTCTGTGGTTTTTGGTTTGGTGCTGTTTATATTGCTTTCTTTTTCATTGTTACACTCTAGCTTTAGCATATATGGGAGACATATGTAGGAGACATTAAACTCCATTGGGAGGTCTCTTTACAATTTCATACTTCTTAGCCATTGGGTGTGTAATCTGGGAGTAATGGGAGATAAGAGTATAATATACTTGGAGAGGAGTAGATTGGGAAAAGGATATATAGGGAACATGCAAAGTACAGAAGCTCTCATCTACTCGGAGGCAAAGTTCAAGGGAGTTTTCCAGCTTCTAAGACGCAAAAAAGATTTTCTCTAAGCTTGGCTTTCCTCAACTCGGCCGAACTGGCTGTTAGGGTGATAGGTACTATAGTTGGAAAGTCCTAGGTGGGACTTTGAGGGAGGCTTCCCCCTGCCCACCATTCTGGTCTCAGTTCTCAGCCTATTTTTTAGTCTGATTCTCCGACCTTCGAAATCTTTCCTTTCGTCGTTATTTCAGGCTTTCGCTCTCCCCACCTCCTTCGCACGTGAGCGCTGAACCCCACCCCCTCGCTGCCGACCCATCTGGCGGCGCCGTCTTCCTTCTCTCCCCTTTTGTGTGCGCGCGCGGTCGACCGCTCGCGCTGACGAGGAAGAAGGCGGAGGCGCGCGCAAAAAAAAAAAAAAAAAAAAAAAGAGTGGCTCGCCGCGCCCCTTTCCTCCTTAACTGCCACCAGCCATTGCCGGGGCGGCTTCCTGCTTACTCGCCTCCCCTCCTTTCCGTTGCTGCCTTCGCAGAACCTTCCCGAGGGCGCAGTTTTAGAGGCAGCGGTGGCAGCGGCATTTTTCCTCACACACGTACACACACAGACCCTTCTTCCCTCCCCGCCTCACTTCCGTCGCCATGAATCCCAGCTGTGCCCGCTGCGGCAAAATCGTCTACCCAACCGAGAAGGTGAACTGCCTCGACAAGGTGGGTGCCGTGAAGAGAAGGCGCAAGTCCCGCTGACCGGATGGGGCTAGTGGCTTTTGAGGGGATGCCTGAGAGGGGAGGTCGCGAAGCCGAGGAGGGGGCGAGGAGCAGCGGCAGTTGGTAGCCCGGAGGGGGGTGGTTGCTGCTGGTTGTCCGTGTGTGTGTGGGGGGGGGGTTGTGTGTGGGGTGGGGGTGGGGGGGCGGGCGGTGAAGAGAGAGCAATCGTGGCGACGGTTGGGGTGGAGCGGGGCAAAGATGTCAAGGGCGGGATGGTCGATGCGGAGCGTGTGTGCGTGGAAGGAGAAGGGAGAGCGGGCCAATTGGAGGAGAGGGAGAGGCCGGCAGGCAGGCTCCGAAGTGGTGGATTGCCGGAAGGGGAGAGCAGGCCAGGCTGAGGGAAGAAAGCATGTGGAAAGCACAAAGGGGGCATTTTAGAGAGTGGCCATCGGGGAGTGGTTGAAGGAACAGGGCGTGGGAGAGTAAGGTAGAAGGTAACCTGAACAAAAGGCGGGCTGCGTAGAGGAGGAATAGGGGACGGGTCAGCCGAGGGAACCTAGCGCTTGCTGGACGTGGAGCTGAAGCAGGCCTTCAAAGAGTGGAGTGGCAAATTTCCTGGTTTAGTTAAATTACATGTGCTTTTTGTGAATGCCTCCACTGGGCCATTATTGCAACTTAAAAAGCGACTTAATGGTTGAGGAGACAACATCAAGTGTGAGGTACCACCTGTGGAACAGCGATTGATGACACGTTGAAAGCTTCATACTTTGGAGGAGGGTAGACGGTAGGGGCAGCTATTAAGATTCAGGTTCTGCTTGTCGTGGGTTATACAGAAAAGGCAGTTTTGCAACTTTCTAAGATAAAGTATGAAGGAAATTTGAGAAGCCTGCTGATCTCTAGTGACAGGTGTGCCTACCTGCAAAGAAAGTATGAAATATATTCAACATGTTGTAGTTTAGAGAGGGTGGAGAGGTAAAGAAAACTAATAGGATTTATCTTTTCAAGCTCTCAAAATTATGAATTAAATTAACACTGGGTTGAATTGGGACATAATGAATAAAGACATTGTGGATTTAGGGAATGAATGTTAAAAACAGGGCAAGGTATTGCTAGGTACTTAACACTTTTGACATTATTATGGTAGTTATATCATCTATAATGTAAAGGCTTCTCACTTTACCCTTTTGCAATAATGTAATTTCAATAAAATTATGCAAATAGCCAAACCTAAGTCTTAGGAAAGTTTTGTTCTCTCTCTTTAAATACATCGATATGTTGCCTAGAAAGTAACTATTTGCTTTTAACTGTATTTTTACCAAATCACCTGCCCATTTTTTTTCCAAATAGAAGGATTACAAAATGATTTTCTCAAATTATTTTCAGCAAAGAAATGAAGCAAAGGTTATATAGAACAGCTGATTTTGATATTGGAGACATTCCAGTTTTGATTTAAGTACAGGCATTTGAGCTACATTGTCAATTTATTTAAGCAAATGTTATGACTTTAAATAGTTTTTAAGTTTTTAAAAGTGGCTTTAAATGAAGAGGAGGTTTCTACTACTTTTTACCGTAATTAAAAAAACAGCTTTATGTATCAATAACCAAAAAGAAGATGAGCAAATTAGCCATCATCTGTTTTATGTTGGATTCTATTCCCTTGCCCACCTCCCTTCTGATCATTTCAGCAGTGTTATATATAAGAATAGATCCTTTAAAAAATTGAGTTATTTTTGCTGTTTAAAAAAGAAATCGAGTCAAGTACTGTAGGGACTTTGCTGTGTATCATGTTTATAACTACAAAGACCTCTATGCCTTGCTCATCTTGTTACATATTTGGCTTTAAAAAGATTGCAACTTTTTAGATTCATGGATGATGTAGCAACTTTGTTTCCCTACTTGACTATGCCTTTATTAAGGGGAGGAGATATTTCTGTCATAAACTGCAACTACTAATTATATACTTCTGAAATAGTGATGGAGTTAAATCTTAATGAAGTTTGAGTTAGATTTTTCTAATGTAAAGATAGAGGTAGGGAACTACAGGTTCACCTCTTTTGCAGCAGAGCTCCCTTAAACAGCTTACATTCACAAGTTGTTCTAAGTGCTAACTTGTGACTAGAAATGAATCTGTGTTAGTGATAAGAGGGAGAGGGAGGTTGTGCCAGTTTCACAAATGAAAATTTTCGCTGCACTGTGCAATAATATTTTTTCTAATATAAACATGAAATATATGTATGAATGTGCCATATGCTAGTAGACTTGTGTGACACAACCTGAGCATTATGTTTAGAATCATTTTTTAAAGCTCTGTTTTAGTATTAAAAGTATACAAAAACTATGAGATAAAAGCACATTTGGTCTGCTCCCAAAGTCCAGTCTGTGATTTACAAGCATTGGGACAGAGATTGAAATTTACTTCCATATAATATTTATCAGTTAAATTGTTATGGTTGTTACTCTTCAACAATTATGAGTGGCTTGCAAAGATTAAAAAAACAATATATTAATATTAACAAAGAAAATATGATCATGCCTGGAGAAGAGAAATTTAGTAACATTTACACCAAGGACATATATCTTCCATTCAGGATTATATCTCTCCCAGCATTGGCCTTGGGGAATGGGGAAAGAGCCAGGAGTCTTCAGGGCTCTTTTGAATAACTATAGGATCTGGAGTTAGAGAGTAACACCATTCAGGAAGGTAGGTACTGCAGTAGGGAAAACACTCTTCTTGGTCCCATGAGACAACATTACTTAATAGGTGTCAAACCTGTTATCTTACAAGATGGCAGAAAGAATTGTAGAAATAAAGTTCCCCCAAATATTTAAACCCTATTATAATTTTGTTCTGCTTTTTTAATATTTAACTCAAGATGGCAAACATACCTAATACTCCTGCCTATTATCATGTGAGGTGCATTGGGCTGAGAGCAAGTGCCTGGCTCCAATATCACCCACTCATTTTTCATGCCTACGGAAGGACTAAAACTCAGTCTCGTGGTTTCTAAGCCAACATCTTAAACACTATGCTAGAAGGGCTCTCTATTTCATGCTGAGCCTTAAAGATAACAACCAACATCTTGAATTGTATTTGAAAGCCGTCTAGTAACTGCTAGTATATGGAATCCCTAGTAGGTGGTATTAGTTGAGATGCTTTATAACCTAATGGATTCCATCCATATGCATCATTGTTTTGCCAATTTTCTAAATAGTTGCTCATGTAAGTTGTATTTCCTGATAAATTGCATTTTTTTTATTAAAGCTCCATACTGAAACAAGATCTGAACATCTGAAATTTATCTGCATTGAAACATATAAAATGGTATCTGCATTTTTATTCAGACACAAGAAATTGGTAGAACAATTTAACAGTCTAGACCAGACATGTCAAACTTGCGATGTCATGTGATGTCACACAATGTATTGACACGGTTTTGCCATTGCCGGCAATGGGGTGGGTGTGGCTTCCGTATGACGTGTCCGGCCCACAGGTCGGCAGTTTGATACCCCTGGTCTATACCATGTATCAAGTGTTTGTACTATTCCCATCTTGTATATTGAAAATGAAACCAAGATTTACTAAGTGAATACAGTGACTGAATTTGGGTACTTGTTTATTTTTTAAAAAAGATTCAAGTCCCTATATGCCATTTGTTAAGCCACACTGGCTATTGTCTAATTATGCTATACAATATTCTATAGAACTACTATATGAATTTTGTTCTGATATAAGAATAGTGGATATAGTATTTAGATATATTTTTGTACCTAGAATTTGTATTGATTTAGAAAGGTATGCAAGAATGTTCCATCTCATCTCTGAAACTGGATTTTCATTGCATATTGGGCTGCAAATTAGCCAACCATGTTTTAATTTACTATGTATAAAACTGTGGACTGTTTATGATTTCTTATATTATGTAAATATTAGGTTAATTAAATAGTGAAAAAAACTGTTAAAGCTACGATCATGTATGATAGCTGTTAGCTTTTTGTCAGGCACTAGTCATAATTTTCTACACTGGCCATGTTCAGTGTTACAACATTCATACATAACATATCCTTGGTCCCTCTTCATCTCAGAATAAATAACAGAGTAACAGAATTGGAAGAGACCTTGGAAGTCTTCTGGTCCAATCCCTTGCTAAGCAGAAGACCCTAAACCATTTTGGACAATAGCTCTCTAATTTCTTCTTCAAAACCTCCAGCAACGGAACACCACAACTCTGGGGCATAAATCACTTTTTAAACAATTAAAAGATTTAGGATATTTGAAATATAGTTATCAATTTGAAGCAAATATTAGAGTGAACTTGGCCTGTGTCATAATTCTTTTTAGATTAGAAAGATTGCTATATGAAAAATGTCTTTGCCCTATTTTATTGGTAGCTACGGTATTTTGCTACATATTAATAAAGGGGAATAACTTATTGTCTGATAATAGTATTCAAATTTGCAATGTATATTTGAGATGAAATTTGCAGTCATTCAAATTGTATACTTCATAAGAAGGCTCTGGTTTTTAACAGCTACCTGAGACTTCCAATTACCCTGCATTTGCTTGGTGACTGAAAACATGGTTATGTGTGGGTATACATTAAAGAAGTCCTAATTTTAGTTATGTCAAAGGTTTAGTGAAAATTAAAAAATATAAAAATGAACTGCATGAGGAATTGGCTTTCAGCCTCATATGAAGGTGCAAATCTGTTGCTTTAGGCAATAAAATGAGGCAGACTTCTCTTCTAATACTGATGAGTCATTATGTGCTCTTGTCATCTGGGCTGTATTTAAAAATTGGGTGTGGTGAATTCCCATATTATTAGCTGACTCCAGGATACTTTGCAATTATCATTGATTGTGGGTATTCAGAAGAGTAGCAAATCTAACTATTGTTCTTGATCATTAAATAGTAGTGTACCAATTCTTGCTTGACCGTCTTGTTTAGAAAGCTGCTGTTTTGTACTTGATAAAAAAACTAAGCTATTGGATGAATCTGTTAATAAAAAGGTCTGTATGGGTACAGGTGCTTTTGAGAAACTTGGATTTTACTTCACATGTTATCTGATAGTTTTCGTGGAATTCTAAAATAATAAAATGCATTTAGAGTATGTAGGCAATCCGATAAGCAGAATCTTTATGAAGATTTTAATGGGTAATTTTATACTTGTGATTCTGCTCCAATTCTCCCCCCCCTCCCAAAAGTGCTGTAGAAGGATTATCAAGAAAAATGAAGACCACAGTTATATGTAATAAGTAGATAAATTTAATCCATTTTGACATTAAATGGAACCTTGAAAAGAAATGGAAACAGATTAATTCTATAATATTATTGGGAACATGTTATATAAGGTACATTAATAAATGGTTTAAAGTACATAATACTTCGAATATTTCTAATTTGCCACTTTCTTTCTCCTACTCCTGAAAAGATTGCCCTAACAGTTTGTTAAGGATGTGGGATGATGCGAAACAAACAGAAAGGGCTATCCTAAATGTTCTGTTCTAAATCTAGTATTTTGTTCTATAATCATCTTGGAATTTAGTACTATTTTTAACCATTTATTTTCTTTTAAGAGCTTACTACCATTTTCACTAATTAAATAAAAAGACGTATTTGTCCTGGACTTGTTTAGTTTTTGTTTTTTACATTTGAGCAATAAAAAGTTCTTACAGTGAGCATCTATCTAAAAAAATCCGTCATGTATGACTGGTACAAAGACTTGTTATCTTTGCATATACATTCTTTATTTAATTAACCCAATGTATTGTAGTGAACTAATACTTGTTTCTTATATTTCCCTAGTACTGGCATAAAGCATGTTTTCATTGCGAAGTCTGCAAGATGACCCTCAACATGAAAAACTACAAGGGCTATGAGAAGAAGCCATACTGCAATGCGTGAGTATGCTTTTCGGTGCTCTGCCTTCATAATTCTAGAGATACATAGACCAAAACTATTTTGTAAGGAACTATATTGAGATCTTAAACTTCATTTGCAGATAAGCAATATGAAGAAAAAAACTGACTAAAGAATGCTCCCATGGCATTCTTAATCCTATACAGTGCATTTTTAGGTTTCCAAATCTCTATACTCTTAAGCTTTCTTTTTCTTGGTAAATATGAAATTAATGGAAATAATGTATCAAATGACAAGACACCAGCACATGCCTTTTGCCAAAGAAAAATATTGGTGTCAATGTTGGTTAATGTGGTTGTATCAATATAAAAGGAGAATTTGTGGCTTCACTAAAAGAAAAAAAAAATCAGAAATAGTTCCTGAGCAATAATTCAATGGAAAAATTTGGAGAGAAGTTTCCATGCTGAGGAATAGCTGTGATGCAGCAGAATGGTGATCATAGAAGGAAGAAAAGCTACAAGACGAACATATTTAAACAGGCTTTGGAAAGTAATGAAGAACTAAGTATAAGGAAATATATAGCAAGGGAAATTTTAGTCAGCAGTAGGGAGCAGAATGTTTTGTGAGAGAAGGTTCTTATTATTAAAAAGAAAAACTGAGAGCAAGTTACAGTTAGAATGAACGTTTTAAATGAAGAGCAATTACATATAAGTTTAAAGCGAAATATGTAGCATGAAAAGCACAGCTACTATCTGTGGGCAATAATACAAATTGCAGTTACTGTTTCCCCAGATCTTGATCTTCTAGTAGCATTGTTTATTTGGGTTTATTCAGTGAGAATTGTCATAGTATCTTCTAAATGTATTTTTAAAATAGGTGAATAGGTGTTCTGGATAGTGCTAAATCCATGTTCCAAGTATTCTGAAATAATCTTTGGAGATTGACTTGGAAGGATTGCATAGTTGCATGGTATATTACAGATAATAAAAGTTCCTTAATAAGAGTATTTCACTTGGTAAAAATATTAGTTGATTCCCTAAGTAAATTTCTTAATACTGTAATCTAATTTAGGATGATATTTTTAAATTTAATATAGGAAAGGCTTTCTGTTTAAATCACTGCTACAGATATAATACCTTTTAATTTCAGTACGTGAAACATGAGTAATACTTCAGTGATACTGATCTGCTTTGGAAATGAAAACAGATAATTATTTAAAAATTGGAAAAATTAAAATTAACTGTGGTAAATTTTCAGAATTCATATAAAAGCTAGTGAAATGTTTGCCTGAAATCATTGGACCATCTCCGCTATTTGGATTCTTTTAAAGAAAAAGAAGATAAAAAATTAATATTTAGTATTAGCAGCTTCTTTGAGTCTGTTTTCAAAATAAGAAAAAAGTAGTTATCCTCTGCTAGTAGTATATAAACTGCATATTCATAGCTGTGTGTGTTGCAGTGTGCAGAATATTCCTTACTGGGAATGGTCATTTTGAATGTTACATCACTTTTATAACAAAATAAGATACATGTCCAACTTGAGACAATATGGGATATTTTATTCCAAATTATTTGAATAGTGTTCGAATATGGCATAGTTAGATTCTCTCAATTCACCAAACCATGGTGAATATATATCTGTTAATAAAATAGAAGTTTTCTGCTGCTGTTGGCTGGAGCTACGAAGGAAGAAAGTCTTAAGTAAGAAAATTTATTAGGAAAATTAAATTAAATTCATTACTATTTGCCCAGTAAGTAAATTGAATACTGGGTATTTTTTATGTTTTGTTTTGCTCTGTGAAGTTAGGGTTAAGAGTTTGTGTTGTAATAACTGTTATCCTGTAACTGTAATTAAATGGATATATTTCATCTCTGTAATAAAGGAAAAGAAGGTTGCTTCAATAACTGAAATGAAACACTGAATTGGTGCCGCCACCACAGTTTTTGGTTTACTCAACTGGTACTTATAGTAGAAATCAAACATTAATATATATAGTAAAATGTGAATGTTTTGATCGCTGATGCTACCAGAGTTTCTGTTTCAGATTAGAATGATCATGAGTGCTTTTATAGCCATAAGTCCAAAATGTGAAGATCTTCCAAGTGTACAACCTTGATAGAATACCATATTGAATCTATACAATGAAACCATATGTCAGTAATGCTGCAACCAACTAAAAAATAGCCAGTGAAATCCAAAAACGGCATCTGAAATGTTTAAAAACATTTGCAGAATGGACCTAGTTTTTCATCCATGCAAGCTACTCTAAAAATTGAGTGGTGAGGACAGCAAAAAAGATTATTGGAAGTTCATTTCCTTCTATCCAGGACATAGCTTACAAGCGATGGTTGCTCAGGATCCACAGTACATGTAGTCCTTGACTTACAATAGTTCATTTAGTAATGGTTCAAAGTTACAACGGCACTGAAAAATGTGACTTATGACTGTTTTTCACAGTTACCACCTTTGCAGCATTCCCATGATCATGTGATCAAAATTCAGATGCTTGACAACTGGTTCATATTTATGATCATTGCTGTGTCCCAAGGTCATGTGATCACCTTTTCTGATTTTCTCACAAGCAAAGACAACGGGGAAGCTAGATTCACTTAACAACTATGTTGACAACTACCTATAATGTTCCAGTGGAACATTTTAAATGAAACTGCTTTGTTATGGTCTCAGAACAAAACATTTTTATTTGAGATACTCTTTGCTTCAGAATTATATTATGACTAGACTTTAATCATTTGACAAACAATTCCAAGCCTCATGAATAAGAAAATTTGGATAAAAATATTTGGCCTCTGTGAAAAATGATCAAGTTATGGAATTACTCAATTTTTGCCTAGGAATAGGCAGATTTTACAAACTTTTATTTTTCCACTAGAACCCTAGCAACCATTAAGTGAACACAAGTGTGTAGGTGGGTAGTTGCAGAAAAAAAGGTTTCTGAGCACATGCTCATCTTATTATTTTCAGAACTGAAGCATGCACATTAAACTATATCCCTTATTTACAGCAATCTAATTTAGAATGCAAAACAACCTTCTGGTTTTGGAGTTGTAAGCCTTTGCTTTATTTATTAAATCCTATTATATATCTACAATATCTATAGATTCTAGGCTACTTTTTGCTACCTATGCCTCAGATTATACCTGGGTTTAAAATGTTCTTTATCCAGAGAGACTTCTGGTCCTGCATGGTAGCGACTGGTTGCGGGCTTGTGGACTGCTGCACCCCCACAGGTAATTTTCGTCCTGCCTGGAGACCCTAATGGGGTCTCCAGGCAAGCTGCCCCAGAGAGGCGGCAAAGAAAGAAGGGTGCCCCAGCAACTCTGGAATGACAGCAGTCGTTCCGTTCATCTTGGGGAAAGCCTTCTAACCCGACAGGAGGAAGGCTGTATTTCACCAATCAGCCCAAGCTACTTGCAACCGAAGTTCAACAGAACTAACCAGCACAACAGTAAACAGCGTGCTTGAAACTGGGTGAGGAATCTGATTTTCCCTTTTCTATCCTACATTTAATTTCCTGGAAAAGATCCCCAAGAAGCAAAATACCTCCAAAAGTGAAGGAAGGGGACTTCACCCCCCTATTCTTATACTAATGGAAGTGGCAAACTAAAATTTCCATGGAGAATCAAAATATATGGTAGTGAAATAAATTTATAAACTTGAAAGCTAAAATTTAACTTTGGACAAGTTTAAAATTGTTGAATGATTAAGACTGTCATTTTAAAGACCATTGTTCATATTGAAAACTAAATAGATACTGACACCTAGTGGTGGATGAAGATTATGACAGTTAATAATTTCCATAAAGAACTTGCCAAACCCTGGGAAAAGCTAATCTGTGTTTGTGACCTTCAAAGCTTTAATAACAAAGAACTGTGTGACAAAAAAAAGACAACAATCTGGGCTGCAGACAAAGAGAGAATTGTAAACTTTAGAAAAAAAATCTTTGAACTGTTTGGATTACAAATATCTATTTAACCGGGACTCTAAAGCTATTTGCAGATAAGGAAAACTTCAGTTTTTGGCCATCATGGATCAGAGACATATAGATCGAACACACCAAGAAAACATAAATACCTCTCAGGAGGAGATATATAATATACTGCAATTAATTCAAATAACAAATAACATTTGAATTAGTTCAAATCACAAAGAAATCCAAAATAAATTTGAAAATATAAATCAATCTATTTCTAAATTAACTCTAGAAGAAAAAAACTTCCAGGAAACAACAACAGAGAAGGAGCAGACAAAACAAATAAGTGGATATAACATTGAAAATAGAGACTCAAAGATGGAACTTAACAAAGCAAGAAAACATGATTTAATCCTAGTGGGAATTTTTTTTACAAGAAATGGAAAAAACAACTCATTCCTTAAGACTACAAAATAAATCTGAAGACAAAAAAACATATTGGATAAAATAGAATGTAGAGATGTTGAAAACATCAGAGAGAAAGGAAATGATAAGAGAAGCAAAGAAGGAGAAAAAGAAAAAGATTTTCAAGAAACATTGAAAGTCAAAAGCCTCATATAGAGACACTTTATTTAATTTATTTCTTATATCTACAGCAACAGTCATGAATATATGGAAAAACTTTTTGATTCAGCAAAATACATTGATCAAGAAAGATACTGGTCAAAGGAAAAAGATTAAAGTGAAAATTAAGAAAATAGACGATGGGATCTACCAGAGAGAATATATAAAAAAGAAACATTTGTTTGAATATGGTTAAAGAAATAGAAAAGATTCTGAATGCATATGTCATTCTAAGAGGGATAAATTCCTTAAGTAATACTGTACGCTTTCTCCCCCTTTTTTATTTTATTTCTTGATACAAGTAATATAATACTGCTGAAATGGCTTAGATGAAGGAAATATTTTAGATAATTAAATGTGTTTGAATGTAGGGAAATTATAATGTATAAAAAAGAAAAAATGTTTTGAATAAGAGCTAAAGGATTACATGAGTAGACACATTAAATGAAATATTTAAAGATTACATATATTTTTAATTATGGTTAAAAAGAATAAGAAATTTTGGGAATGAATATATATTAGAATAGGAGGAATATATATTTTAAGAAGTATTTACTTTTTATGTTTCTTTACTCTTGCTCTGTTTTCCTTTTGTTTACTGTTTTTACCTATTCTTTACGAAATGTAAAAGTGTTGAGATGGTCTTAATCGGAAAAATGTATTTAAATCTTTAAATGTAATTAACTGTTGAGAAAATCTTAACCAGCAAGAATACTTTGAACTTTATGGGAGAAACAAATCTAAATAAGGACTGTAACAGGATATAAAATGAGGCAACCAGAATGATTAGATAGAAAAGAAATATTATATTGATGTGATCATTATTTCTAAGAATATTGGGGAAAAATCATATATGTAACTGTTATTTATCAAAATAATAAGAACTGTATTAATTCAAGGTTTGCAAAGAAGACATTTTGGGGAAAAGGGGAAATCAGCTAAATGTACTATGTGGATTAAAGATTATAAAAACCAATTGTTAATGATTTTTTTTTGCAAATGTAAACCCAGCAAACACACTGTTTACCAACTATTAAGTGATTTATGTTTAAAAAAATTAATAAAATATATGAAAATTAAAATAAAATAAAATGTCCTTTGTCCAAACCACAGAATACTGTAAAATCTCAAATGCTAGTTTTAGTATAAAGAAAGTAAAATATATTATGACAGAACCCAATATATTTATGATTTGACATAATATTGTGGGGGTGGAGTGCAACTGTGTTGAATGTTGCTTACAAGTTTGTCTTTTCTAAACAACCTCCATAAAATCTGGAATTGAACAATGAATGTCCTATCTTTTTGGAGGGATTGAAGAAGAAAAATGGCTGCGTTTATACTGGCAGAAGTAAGTGTGCTTCTTCAAATATGCTTCTTACAGACTTTCTTCTGTCCATTTTCTGGCTTTCTGCCAGTTTAAGAGCAATACAATGAAAGCTGTGCTTCCTCTCTACTGTCATAGTACCATATAGTAATTTGAACATAACTTTCCAAAGGAGCTGTTGCTTTTTATGTCTTCTGAGTTTTTTTCTCATTGGTGTAGTAGGCACATTTAGTGCAATCTCAAAGATTTACTTCATAGACTCTTCTGTCAACAATACAAATTGCCCTATGTCCTTGTGATTAAGCAAACCGACCACAGTTATTGCTGAAGACAGAGCAAGAAATTGGTTTAAAGTGGAAGTAACTGGTCATCAGGCATCATTTCCTATTGTTAAAGTTGTTATAAAGTGGAACAGATTCTCCCAGGATATTGCTGGAACAGAGATTGGATGGCCCTTTGTCAGGAATTTTATAAGAATACTGACAGGAAGTTGGGTTAGATCAGTGGACTCAGCCTTATGTTCCATGGGCAACATATAGTCCTCCAGGTGATTTTTTGCAGCCTACTTCACAAGGACAGAGGCACAGTAGTGTAGGATGACTTGTTTGTACAGCAAAAAGCTACTAAAAGGGTGGAGCAGCTGCTTGCTGAACTTGGCTGCAGATCCTCTGTTAGTCAAGGAAGTGGAAATGATGGTCGAGGAGATGACTGTGCTGACCCTGCCTCATTAGACTATTGCAGCTAGGCCAGGGCTTCACCTCTGTTATTTATTTATTTATTTATTTATGAGACTTATATACCGCTTTAAGTGCAAGCACTCTCTAAGCGGTGTACACCAAGTAAACAATGTATATATATATATTTACATTGCCCCCAACAATCTGGGTCCTCATTTTACCTACCTCGGAAGGATGGAAGGCTGAGTCAACCTTGAGCCGGTGAGATTTGAACCGCTGACCTGCTGAACACAGTCAGCTAAAGTGGCCTGCAGTACTGCACTCTAACTGCTGCACCACCTCGGCTCATATAGGTTATAGGTATTCTTCTTCTGTTTTCCTTCTTGTAATTCAAGAGCAGATATATTCCTGGCCCTTATTGACATGACATCCCAAGAGTTTGGCTGTGAGGTGGATGCTTGGGAGTGGGTGGTGATATATTCTATGGGATTTGTTTTTAAACATGCATGTATAGGTGTATATTCATAGGTTCTTGTGGGATTCACTGACTGGGTTTCCCTTAAAATTCAGATTTACCACTACCTTTATTTGCTCGGAGGTTGATAATTTGCAAAGCAGATATAGGTGGAATGAATGGAGATTTGTTGTGGCACTTTTTTAAAATAGAGAAATATAATTGGTTTTTTTTGCAGGTTTCTTTCTTGAGAGCAGTTCCTCAATTCACTACTCCCCGAAGAATGCTACTACTATTTGGAAATGGATTTGGACCTAGACAGGTGTTTGTTTTTCCCTCTCAAAAGTTGGGTCGTCATTGAGGTTGTTAACTAGCTGGCAATTGTGGTTGGAGTTGGCTTCATCTTAGAATGTGGAGCTGGAGGTTGGTGGGGGTATTGCCAGATCAATGCCCAAGGTGCAGTTCTGGAGATATATTTCCATTTTACTGGAAGATTTAAAAATAAAAAAAAATTGGTGGCACACCATGATGGTAATAATTTTCTTAATTTTCAAGAGATTTGTTTTGTTTTTGCAATCTTCTGTATCATAGTTTTAAGCTGGTCCTTGTGTGGCACTCTTGTGGTTTGAATTTGATATTTCTGAACTAGTAGATACCTTAGGTCTCTTCAAACCCTAAAATATAGTGCTATTTAAAAGAGAGAGAAAAAGAAAAAGTTGGGTTTATTAGGATTCAGTAAATTAAACCCTAGAAACTGAAATAGATGGTTTTATTTCCAAACAACGAAAAGTGATAATATTGATACAATTATTTGAATAGGTGATTGACAGAAGAGGATGTCTTGCATGTAATCTATTGATTCTCCAGCAGGATGTCTGTAGAATCCACCGGATGGGTTATTAACAGCCTTCCTGCTCAGCAGACTAGGTCAGAACTTTGGCCACTCCTTTGGGAGTGACTCCAGTTTTGACTTAGTCTTGAGCTCGCAGCACATGATTATTTTTGCTCCGGATAGATTAGGTTTCTTTAACAGTGATTTTATTGACACAGTTTCAATTAGTTAGCATAAATTTGTTCTTTAATTAGCCTCATTTAAATTGAATACTCAAATTGATAAATTTAAATTTTTGGAGGCTGTAGGCATTCAGGCCAGCTGGCTGCGTGCCCGGTTTTTCTGGCCGATCAGTCGGCTCGCCTTTGGAGCCTCGATTGGCTCCTTGCAGACTCAGAGCTTCAATCAGCCAGTTTTCCTTTGGAGCATTAGATCAGCTCCTTGCAGGATCAGAGCTTCAATTAGCCGGTTTTTTTCCTTGGAGCGTTGGATCAGCTCCGTTACAGGCTCAGCTTTGGCTCGTCAGTTACCTTTCTTCAGGACACCTGATTCAGATTTGGATCTAAGGCGACCAGGAAACGCAAGTTGCTCAGGGTTTTCTCTGTTTACTGAGAATCTCTCCCTTTACTTAGTGCTCTTTGTCTTTGTTCCTTTCCTGGTTTCTTATTATTGCTCCAACGTTTGTTTATTAACAGAGAGTGCGGCAGCCATCTTGGCCGCATGTTTTCACTGGGGGCGGCCATTTTGAGGGTGTGTTTTGTCTCCTTCAGGACGCCATCTTGAGTGTGTCCTTAGGCCCTCACCATATTGGGTGGACAATTTGCACGGAGATTTTTCCTGGTATTATTAAGAGTTGATTAGCCCTCAGAGGGGGCTTATACTACTTTTTGGGAGTCTGATTTCAGCCCCATATTGTGGGGGAAGAAAAAAAAAAGACAATTGCAGCTCCTAGAGGAGAAGCAATATCTGAGTACTGATACTCTACCTCACTAATACCTGGTGAAGGAGCGAGAAGAGTGAACTTTATTCCAACTGTTCTGTTAGTGTGGCATTGTCACAGGCTTATCAAGGGGTTTTAGCAAATCACTTGACTGTCCGGCCATTGCAGTTGTACAGAGCGAGGATTGATTCTTTCCATCTCTGTCAATTGATCTGCGTACCTGGGTGCTCCCCCCCCACAGGTATTTCCTACTCGGTATATCTGTGCGCAATGGCAGACAGTGTCTCGCCTTCAGCTTCGCAGGGCTCCTCTATGCCTCCCCCACAACAACAAAAACGCAGATCCACTGAATCAGAGTCGGGGGGGGGGAAGAAAAAGGCCAAAACAAAACATTTAACACAGAAGGAGCCCTCAAAAACGGCTGAGTGAGAGGCCTCGAGGAGACATTTGGCATTAGAAAAACAATTTTCCAGAGCACAAAGACTTAGGGCCAATGAGGCTGACATGGTTTCCCCCGCCCCATTGGAATTATCCATACCTGAGTCTGCATTTGTTCCACATCAGGAAGTTCTCAGGACCTGGTCTCCTCAGGGGGAAACTGAGCAGATTGGTTCTCCTCGCTCCTCATCATCTGCATCATCAGATCATGGTCCAGTCACAGTGGGCCATAGTACCAGGTCTCAGGAAGATATTTGGTCCGCTCAGTTTCAGGCCTTTATGCAGAATGCATTTAACCAGTTTATGTCTTCCAAGGGTCAACTGCCTCGTCAATCTTCCTCCCATAGAGGGAGGGCTACGGTTTCCGCCACAGAGGTTTCAGAAACCTCCTCTCAGTTAGGTGAGGCTGAGTTGGTTGACCTGGACGTAGCTGATATTCCCTTGTCGGACGATGAGGAGACTGTCTCTGAACAGACTCAGACTGCAGGTGTCTTTGACCCTTCTCTTCTTAAATCTCTATTAATCAAGGCAATTTCCACTGTTAATCTCACTTCTGTACAGGAGGAGAGACCTTCTACCAGTCAGGAGTCCAATCCTCTGTTCGCAAAGAAGGTAACAGGGGACAAATATATTCCTTGCCCAGAAGTCTTCCGTACCTCCGTGGAGGAACAATGGTTCTCTTTGGCTGCTCCACCTGCGCCTAACAGCGTAGAGAAGAAACTGTTTAATGTCTCCCCATCATTTTCCTCTCTGTTAGAGGTTCCTACTGTGGATAGTCCTCTGATTTCTCTGTTCTCTACATCAGCTATTCCAGGGGACATGGCAGAGGCTCTGAAGGCCGAGGATAAGAAATTTGAGCACTCTCTCCGTCGGGCTCAACAGGCTTCGGCATAGGCGGCCAAGGCGGCAACCTCTTCCTCCTTCTTCTCCAGGGCTTGTATCATGTGGCTACGCGAACTGCAGACCAGCGGATCAGGTTAGAACACATCAAACTTTGGCTAAGATTTTGGCTGCTTCACAATACGTAGCAGATGCCACATTGCACTCCACTAAATATTCCGCAAGATCAATAGCTGCCACAGTTGCCTCTCGTAGGCTCCTATGGCTGAAGCATTGGAGGACAGACTTGAAAGCCAAGTGGCGTCTGTCCACGTCCAAATACACCGGGACACTTTTGTTTGGTTCCATTTTGGATCCACACGTTAGTGAGGGCAAGGACAAGCGCAAGGTCCTAGTGCATCCCTCTAAGAAAGTAGACAGAAGGACATCTCAGGACTTCAGAAAACAAGCCTTTCGTACCAGCGGTCCCTGGGAGTGGAGTCAGCCCTTTAGATCAGGACAATCCTGGGACTGGTCGAGAGGCTCGCGATCCTTCTATCCCAGACAGATCGTTTCCAGGATCGCCAAAACACTGGAGCCAGAGGCCAGTTTCAGGCTAAGCGTCCATTCAGGGGAGCAGGAGGCCGCGCTTACAGGCAGTCTAAGTGACGCCAGGGAGGACTTTCCCATTGGAGGCAGACTACAAAAGTTCAGCGATGTCTGGGAAAGCACCACCTCAGATGTTTGGGTGGTAGAGACCATCAAGTACGGTCTCACCTTAGAATTTTACTCCCCCCCTCCAAACCGCTTCATAAGTTGCCCTCTCTCCCGAAACGGTCAAGACAGACCTGATGACTTCGGCCATATCTCATCTACTCGAAATTCAGGCTATAGAACCAGTACCAAAGGAGGAGGAGGGAATGGGGTTTTACTCCATTCTGTTTCTGGTTCCCAAGTCCTCAGGGGGATGGAGGGCGATACTGGATTTAAAGGGATTAAATTATTTTGTGACCTACAGAAGGTTCAAGATGCAGTCCCTAAAATCCATATTAGCCAGCATCAGGAAGGGAGATTATCTCTCTTCAATAGACCTCACAGAGGCGTATCTGCATATTCCCATCCATCCTCCGTATCGCAAGTTCCTCAGGTTTTGCTACGCGCACCGGCATTACCATTACAGGGCCCTACCATTCGGCCTGTCCTCAGCCCCAAGAGTCTTCACGAAGATTTTAGCAGTCATAGCAGCCTACCTCAGGCTGAGGCCGGTGTGCATGCAATGTTACCTGGACGATATCCTAGTCCAGTCCAGCTCTTTTCAGGCAGCAAAACGGGATGTTCAAACTACGATACTCATTCTGCAGAATCACGGGTTCTCCGTGAACTTCAAGAAGAGCCACATCACTCCAACAAGGAGATTACAACATCTGGGAGCGATAATAGACTCGTCCCATTGCAGGGTATATCTTTCTCAGGAGAGGCGGACCAGCATCAGGAAACTTGTTCATCTGGTTCGCAAGGACAAGAGAGTGCCTCTGGCACAGCTGTCAAAGCTCCTCGGAAAGATGATCTCTTGTATGGGCATTGTGCCGTGGGCCAGGCTCCACTCCAAACTCCTACAATGGTTTCTTCTTCCTTACCAAAAGCGAAATCTCAGTGCTTCCAACAGGAAGGTCACAGTTCCACACCACATATTGCAATCCCTTTTTTGGTGGACAACATCTGTGATGACCAAGGGAGTCATATTCAGGGAACCGAACCGGGTCATCCTCACAACAGACGCGAGTCTGTTCGGTTGGGGAGCTCACCTGGGCACCCACCTGACCCAGAGACAGTGGTCCCACTCGGATCTCGCCCAAAACATCAACTGGCTCGAACTTCGGGCCATTCACCTGGCACTCCTTCAATTCTCTTCCCTAGTCAAGGGGAAGCATGTCCTCGTCAGGACAGACAACGTGGCGGCCAAAGCACACGTCAACAAAGAAGGAGGGACCAGGTTCTGGGACCTGATGCGAGAGGCATCGACCCTGGGCATCTGGGCAGAGTCAAACCTGGCCTTCATAAGGGCAGAACACATATCGGGGGAGGCAAATCAACAGGCAGACTCCCTGAGCAGAGTCAAGTTAGACCATGCGGAGTGGCAACTGGATCCGGCTCTGTTTCAGGAGATCACGTTGAGGTTTGGCCGACCCCACCTGGATCTATTTGCCACCCCGACAAATGCACAGATTCCCAGATTTCAGACACAAGGAGTGGAGGGAATGGATGCCCTTCGCTGTCGGTGGCCGGCGCAACTATTGTACGCCTTCCCACCTCTCCCCCTGATTCCGGCGACCATACGCAAGTTGATCCTGGAAGGAGCAGAGGTAATCTTGATTGCTCCACATTGGCCACGGCATCCGTGGTTTGCCGACCTGGTGGATCTTTCGGTATCTCCTCCGTGGAGGACTCCTCCGGACTGAGTGGTTCTCAGCCAGGGCAACCTTTTGCATCCAGATCCGTACTGGCTCCAACTAGCCGCTTGACATTTGAGCGGGAAAGTTTAGCCAGGCAGTCTTATTCATCTGAGGTGATCTCGTTGATACAGGCCTCTAGATGCCCTTCAACAAACAGGATCTATGATGCCACATGGAGGGGTTTCTGCAAGTGGTGCCTTGTGCATGCATTGGACCCACTCTCGGTTTCTATACCAAACATTCTGGACTACCTATTGGAGGGTCTGAACAAGGGTCTATCGCCCAATACTATCCGCAGGCAACTAGCAGCCCTTTCCTCTATTCTTTCCTGCGACAATTCCAGCCCTTTGTCGAAACATCCGGCAGTCAGTGCTTTTTCACAGATCTCAGGAACTTATTCTTCCCAACTTCTGTCCTAATCCCAGGCACAGGTTGGAACGCGAGTGACACAAGCTAGACGTATGCAGGGCTCTGCATTATTACGTGAAGTGTACTTCTTCCTTCCGTAAATCGGAGGCCCTATTTGTATCTTTTCAACCTTCAGCAATGGGGAAGAAAGTTTCTTCTTCTACCATAGGTAGGTGGATTAGGCCTGTATAACTCAGGCGTATTCTTCCTTGTCTCTTCCTGTTCCTTCACATGTCACGGCTCATTTGACACGCAGTGCCACTGCGTCAGCCGCATGGTCCACGCAAGCCTCTGTGGAGGAGATTTGCAGAGCCGTAACGTGGTCTTCTCCTTCGGCATTTGTCAGACATTACTGGGTGGATGCCTTTGCGGCGGCTGACGCCGCGTTTGGCAGGCGTGTACTTCAACAGGTTGTTTCTTCTCATGATTCTAGAGCCTAAACTTTTCCCTCCCGAGGGGATATGAGGGCTTTGGTATGTCCCATCCAGTGGATTCTACAGACATCCTGCTGGAGAAGGGGCGTTGTCTTACCTGAACGCCTTTTCTCAGCAGGATGATGTAGAATCCACACCCTCCCGCACAAATAGTCTAGGCAGGTGTATCACAATTGGAGCTATTGAGTTGAGATTCATCAGAGCTGCTTCGCCTCATCAAAACTGGAGTCACTCCCAAAGGAGGGGCGTGGCCAAAGTTCTGACCTAGTCTGCTGAGCAGGAAGGCTGTTAAAACCCATCCGGTGGATTCTACATCATCCTGCTGAGAAAAGGCGTTCAGGTAAGACAATGCCCCGTCTGGTCTCTTTATTTCTTAAAATGCTGTATTAACTGGCAGGAAGCAAGTAACCTAGTTATATAGCTATTTCCTCTGCCCTCCCTTATCCTGGGAGGAAGAAACACTGTTCCTTTTTACAAAACAACTATTTTAAAACAATAGTTTAATATTTTGTTATTATTGGGCTCTGTACTGATGGAATAGTGCTCTTGGTTGAAAGCTGTGATGTCCTTTTCTAGTATTCTAGGAAGAAATCAAGTGTGTGTGTGTGTGTGTGTGTTGTGTGTGTGTTTGTAGGTATATGATTATAAAACAATTAAGATAGTGTTTATTTAAATTATGAGTGTAGCCTTTATATGCAGTTGGGAAGTATACTGTAGAGGAGTTGAATGTTGTGGAAGTTTAGAGAAATATCTTAGACAGCAGGGAAAAATGATACGTAATGTTTTTTTTGCCAAATGTTGTTCATTGATACATACAGCAGTTCTGTCTATATATGAATAGCACTGCCTTTTTATTTGTATTCTTGTTTCATCATTCATTAATACAACAAATTACCTTTTTTGTGCTTCTGTTTATGGTATTCTGAAGTTTATCCCATTGTGATTTCTACTAGCATAACTGGAAACTGCTTTATCCTTAAAGAAAAATTTGCTTTGATCCATATATGCTGAGAAGGCATGATCTAACCATTAGTTTTGGGATGATATCTAAATAAATCTAAACATTTTCTTTTCTTAGCTTATTTGCAAAAATAATTTTAAAAAATGAAAAGATATTGCAAGTATTGTGATTCAATTCCCAATGGGACCGTCTTCTTTCTAGCTCCCTGTTTAATTGAGCACTTGTCTGTTTTGTCTCAGGCAAACCTTTTATTTAAGTGGGTTTTTTCAGTATTCTGAATTACAAGGAAGTTTCTCATTAATATAGAAAACTTGAATCCATTTTTTATATGGAAGGTAAAAGGAAAATATATTGAAAAATGAAAAAAGAATGGAGAAGAGAATTTTTCTTTTTTTCTCCTCCCCTTGGCTTTCAAATTTTCATATGTAAATATATTTCCATAAGTTACCTGTATAATAGCGACAGCTGCAAATCACCCTTCTTCTTTCCCCAGTTGCCATGAAGAATCAGGGAGAGAAATCAATGGAGTCTGAAAATAATGATGAATTAAGTAGGCTGAAAATAATGATGAATTAAGCAAGGAGAGAAAGCCAGTTTTATGCAATGGTTAAAGGCACTGGACAGGAAACTGAAAAACTATCTGATTTCTAGTCTTTCCTTAGGCATGAAAGACATCTGTGTGACTTTGGACCAATCACTCTCTATGAAGAATTAAGGAAGAAGACAGTGTCAAAGCACTTCTAAAAATGTTGCCAACAAACTGCTTGAATTGGACTAGGCAATCACCAGGAGAAAAAATTGTCTCAAAGGTTTCCCCTCACCCTCCAACCCCCCCCCCCAGACATGAGAAAATGGAATGAGGAGGGATTTGAAGAAAAGTATAAATATGGAAGTTGGGAGTACTGTTCTTTGATGTACTGGAAATGCTATGAAGCAGAACAATTGAATTGCTTTTGTGAACTGTGAACTTATTTGCAGTTATAGCTTAGATGCCTGGAATAATGGGTATATGACAACTTTCTGCTGCTTATATTTCTACTAGTAAGAAAATGGAAAGGGGAATTGAGATTTCCTTTTTGTCTCTTGCTTCACAGCTGTTGCAGTAGCAATTTAAGTTTCCAGAATTGGTTCTGCTAAAATAATTTTGTCCGGATTTCTTACGAAGTATGCCATTCTTTTAGATGCACAGGCTCCTCATCTGTTTTAGTCTAATTCCTAATGTTACTGCTTGGATATCTGTTTTTTATTTGAGAAGTAAAACGTAAAAATTATGAAAAAATGGAGGTTTCATTAGGTTGCTAGAAAATCAATGGCAGCTGACTAAAGACAGCTTGTTTTGTATGAGTTTATTGTTCAATGGCCTAAAGTTCAGTTAGACTGAATTTGGATTTAAATAGTGACTTCTAAAATCCAGGGTTATTTGAATATTAGCTCTATATGTGAGTGTGTTTGTACCCATTTTTTTGAAAAATAAAAGTTAATGTCTTTATCAGTTACCTTGTTTTTCTTCCTTGCTGTTTTTATAGATAAGTTACATGTAAGAAATTTAAAGTTTGAGGTATCAGTATGGCACTGAACTAATTAAATCAAATAGAAAATGAAATTCAGACAAAAACAGTTTTTATTTCAAATTTGCTGCACTCAATAGGAGAAGGTACTTCTGCTTTAGACTGCAAATAATTTAAAAAAAAAGGTCCTCGTATTGGCATTAATTGTGCTAAGGAAATATGATACAATACCTCAATAATTGGTGGCTTTGGAACTTTTCAGAAGAACTCTAAAAGGATATTAGGTAACTTGCTTTCATAGATTCTCAGTAATAATTACACTTTTCCAGGCAGTTAATTGTCCTGATAATTCAAGATATGCTCCCAGCTTTATGTATCCTGAATAAACATTAGAAATGTGTGTATTGGTTCTTCTGTATCTCCTTTAATTTTGAGCATAACAGATAAATGGACATACTGGTGATTTTGAAGCATGAACCTATTTATGTTTTGGGGATAACATAAATTTTTGGTAGAAGATTTTCTTCGGCTTTTCACCACATGGTTGATTATTAATTGGTGCATAAACTTGGCATTATATCATCTGGTATAAAAATGGTTTTATGACTTGGATGGTTTATTTATATATTATTTTACTGACTTAATTTCTGTAGGCACCTATCTCAGTAAGTAAGTCTGGGCAGCATACATCCTAAAATGTTAAAACTACTAAAACAATTGCTCATTATCTTAGATTTTTTTTACTTTACTTTTTTTTTTACTTAGAATATTATAGTATGTAATGCAGTAACCTTACAGCTAGTATTAGCAAATAATCACCCATTTAACATCTTTAACATTTAGGCATACTAGCATTGTATAACTATAATATTTCTCCCCTATAATAGCCAGGAATAGAAGTAGAATGAAGATATCTGTCACATTGAAAAGATCTAGTAGAAATATTAGAAAGATGGAAAACAGACTTCTCGTTATCATTTTGGCAATAGCTATTGTTGAGTCTTCAGCGCATGGCAATAACTTCACGGAGCATTTGGTAGTTCTCAGGAGCCTCTTTATTGTTGTTCAGCAGCCCTGTTACAATGCCGAGGCACGCAAGCCTCTCTCCTTCTCTTAAAGACAATCCCCGGGCCAAACAGCAACATTTGGCGCGCTTTGCACTTCACGCATGCGCGCGAGTGCTGGCGCCAGCCAGTCTGGTCCCGGGCAGCTTGCAACTGCCCGGGACTGTTGCAACATCCCGAGCCTGCCTTTGCAGGCTCAGGACACCCCTTCCCCCCCAGCTAAAACGACAACTACATTAATAGTTACACGCGACCTCAACACGAGTGTGGGAGCCACACTAGCTCCATGGTACCAAGCTGTAATATTTTGGGCTTCATTTCCCATCGTTCCTTATTCCAACCTTTCACAGGAATACCTTCTTACTGTTTCTGCTTTGCTAGCAGAGTTACAAAATCTTCAAGATATTTAGGAGATCTTTTAGCTCTCTGTGACCTCCGAATTCCCTGGCAACCTCCAAGCACATCTTGTCCAGGGGGTGCTAGGTGTTCGCCCCCTTCCTTTGACCCTGGTGTCCCCATGGACCGTGCCCCGTTGCCTAGCCTGCTTGCTTGCCCACGGGGCTCGTCAGGCCAGGACTTTGTTCTCTCCATAACCTGGTTGACCTGCCTAGTTGCAGGCTCTCTGCCCCTTCTAGAAGGCTGCCATTGTTGGACAACTCTGTAGAGCCTCCCCGGTCTACCCTAGACCTACCATGAGGCTGCCTTCCTCCACTTCCCAGTTCCATAGTAGGGCTGTCTGGAATCTCAGTACTGTCCCAAAACTCAGTTGCCCCCTCTGTTATGGCGGAGGTGTCAGAATTTGGATTCGGCCCTCCGACCACCTCCCTATGTAAATGCCCCTTTCTGGGAACAGTGGCAGTGTTGGGCCAACTAGACAGAGTGTGTGCCAGCTCTCTTGCAAGGTGTGAGTTATTAGGATGCTCCCGGTTATTCTCCCTGACTGGAGTGCTGAATGGTGTTGGTGTGTAATGATTATGCCCCCGGGGTAACTCCCTGGCTGGAGTAGGCACTGGTGTCTGTGTTCTAGCTGGTTCCCACGAATTCCTGTTCGGAGCACTCGCGGAATCTTGGAATGGGCCGTCTGTGGCCTCTCTGTTGGTGTCTAGCTGCTGCCCACACCCTTCCCTTTGCCCGTAGAGGTCCCCCTCCCCCCCCCTGGAAAAGACCCAAGAGTCTCAGCAGGTGAGTCCAATCTCGTACGCAGCTGGTCGATATGCCGTCGCAGGATACGACCGTCATCCAGGGAAACCTCGTAAGACAAGGGACCTGTAACCTTGCATACTATGGCAGGGACCCACAAATGACCTGGCCCATAATTACGGGTCCATACCGGGGCACCCACTAGCAATTGCCTAGGTGCCCTGGGTTGTGTAAACTTGGGAGGCAGTCTGTCCGGGTGCAACCGGTCAAGCTTAGTAGTCAGTTTGCGCCCCCAGCGAAGTTCAGCCGGGCTCTTCCCAGTAGAAGTTGAAGGTGTGGTGCAGTAAGCAAGTAGAAAATCTGCCAACCTGTGATGCCAGTCCCCATATGTCAGTTTCTTTAAAGCATCCTTGGTGATGCGGACCATCCGTTCAGCCATACCGTTGGTGGAAGGGTGGAAAGGTGCAGAGGTGGCATGACGAATCATGTTGGCCTGTAAGAAAGCTTGGAATTCGGAAGAAGTGAATTGAGAGCCATTGTCAGACACCAAAACATCCGGAAGCCCGTGTGCAGCAAAAATCCCACTCAGTACTTGAATAGTCTTTGCAGTGGTGGTGGAAGAGACAGGTACAACCTCAAGCCATTTTGAATGGCTATCAACCAGGACCAAGAAGAATTGACCCTGAAAGGGCCCAGCGTAATCAATGTGCACCCTAGACCATGGAGACTGTGTTTCCTCCCATCTATGTACAGGAGCCTGTGGCATTTCTGGGCGTGAGCGCTGACAAAGGTGGCATGCGTGCACCTTAGCTTCAATTTCCTTGTCTAACCCAGGCCACCACAAATGGCTGCACGCAAGCGCCTTCATGCGTACAATGCCAGGATGACCCTCGTGAAGGGAACTTAAGACCCTAGACCTCATTGAGTTATGAATGACAACTCTGCTGCCCCACAGCAGACAACCCTGGAAAGTGGATAACTCATTCCTCTTAAGCCAGAAACTCAGCGCCAAGACAACTCTCTGGCCATCCAGACAAAACCCAAGATAAGACACGGGAGAGAGTGCAATCTGTGGCAGATTCAGCAGCCACATCCCTGGCATTTAACGGTGACTCAGGCAATGCCTGAATTGAAAGGATGTTGATGGCGGGGGCAGGATCAGCCTCTACTACTTGCAGGGGTAATCTACTGAGGCCATCAGCATGGCCCATTTCTTTCCCAGGTTTGTGAACTAGAGAAAAATCATAGGCTGACAGAAAGATTGACCATCGCAGCGTTCTGGGGGAGATGATATGGGGAGTTTGTTTGTTTGTGGTAAACAGCCCCAACAAAGGCTTATGGTCAGTAAAGATCGTGAAATGTCTGCCATACAAAAAATCATGGAATTTTTTAATTCCAGCAACAACAGCTAAAGCCTCCCTGTCTATCTGGGCGTAGTTTCGCTCAGCAGAAGATAAGGTTCTGGAGTAATATGCAACAGGAACCTGAGTTCCATCCGGCCTAAGGTGGCTGAGTACTGCTCCCACCCCATACGGAGAAGCATCACAAGCGATGCACACAGGAAGAGTTTCATTAAAATGTGCAAGCACATTGTTAGATGTGAGTAAGGCCTTAACCTCATTGAAGCTTGCTTCATGTGTTTGTGACCACTGCCACACTGCCTGTTTGTCCAGAAGCCTATGAAGTGGTTCAGCTACATTAGCCTTGTTAGGAATGAATGAATTATAGAAATTCAAGAGGCCCAGAAAAGCTTGTAGTTCGGCCTTGGACTTAGGCCTAGGAGCATGCATGATAGCCTTTAATTTGGACTCAGCAGGATGAATTCTATTGGTATCAATTTTGAATCCCAGAAAATCTGTAGAAGGCACCCCAATTTTACATTTGTCCTTCTTGAGTTTGAGGCCCGTTTTTCGGAACCACAGCAGAACAGCCCTCAATCTCTCAGCTAAATTTTGAGTGGAATCTCCAGCAATTAAGACATCATCAAAATAGGGGCAAACCCCTGGTATACCCCTCAGTGTATTTTCCATTATGCTTTGGAAAATTCCAGGAGCCACATTCACTCCAAACTGTAGCCTTTTTACTTTGAATGCCTTATGTTGCTGCAATGCCTTATTCAGAGTGCATTTTAATCTGCACAGATGCGAATGTCCCCATTAGCCTTAAGAGGCGTGACTATGGGGGTCTCCCAAGGACTGGAATCAACAGGTTCCAAAACTCCTTGCTGAATCAATTTGTCCAATTCAGTATCAATTTTCCCTTTTAAAGCAAAAGGAACCCTTCTTGCTTTTACTCTAACAGGATTGACAGTGGGGTCTAGTTTTTAAGGACACAGGGGGCCTTTTGTATGTGCCCAGCTGTGGGCTGCAAACATCTGCAAATTCTTTGCAGACTTCCTGTAGATCTACTGTTTGCAAGCTATTGAGCCCTGTAACATGTATTCCCAAGGCCTCAAACCAATCGAGTCCTATGAGACTCATTCGCTCACTCCCCACTATCAATACATCTAATGGACCTTCAAAATCCTTATACTGTACGTTAAGGGTGGCCTCCCCCTTAACACACACTCTGGAGTTTTGAAAGTCTGTTAACACAATGTCAGAAGGCCTAAGCTTGGCCTGAAATCCACTACCAGAACAAATCTTTCTGAATATATGTATGGAAATGATTGAAAGTGCAGACCCAGTGTCCAGTTCCATGACCAATGGAACTCCTTGCAACTTCACTTTAAGTGACAGTTTCTTCTTGATAGGCTTGTGTGTGCCTGTCCTATAAATGCTTCTT